ACTATTAACTAGGGAATCACGGAAAGATATTCACCCTTCAAGATTTCGAATTCAGCTTTCATGCGCCGGTGCGTGAAAGTTTTAACTATTTTCCAATTTTTGAACTATTTTTGCATAGGAAAAAAATACAAAGCAATGAAAATCATTAATAGACAATCGTTCGATAGGCTGAATTGCACAAAACACATGATCGCGCCGGCTAGCCTGGTGTGCGTTGCTATTTATTTTTCATTGGTCCATCTGATGGCCCTTACATTTCCCTCACTTCTCATTTTCTAAGCATCCCAAAAAGATTTGGTGAAACCAGTGGAATGTACCGTCCATAAATAACCACACGCTGGCATAGATTTCGAATTTTTTTAAGAAAGCTCAAACGGAAGTCCGCGTTGGCACTAAACTAACTCGTAAGCACCGCACCAATTTACCATTAAAAGAATCAAAGAAATGTGGGAAAATCGAAATCACCGATCCTAAGACTGGCAGAAGCGCTACCACCACGCAAATTTCGGTAGTTTTTACAGCGGCAAAATTTGCAAACAATATCAAAAACGTTATCAAAGAAGCAACATACCTTCCAATGAAACAAACAAAATACGTGTTTCGCATGAATAATGCATTGATACAGCGCTGGAAGCTGTTGGGAGTGCAATTGTAACAGTCAAATAATAAGATGCTTCCTCGACACAACGTGCTTTTTCCAGCTCTTCCACGTACAAATGCCCTTCGGATGAGAGAACAATGAGGCAAACTGATTTGTCCGTACGCTCATCTGAATGTAATAATTAAGCGCCCAAATCAAATACATCCCAAAACACACATTTTTGGGTCGGGACCCGAGAAGAATAGCAGTTGCGAGAAGAGGGAACGCATGGAACTGCCAGAGAGATGATATATGAATGAAGCAAATGCACACAGATGCCCCAGAACAGGTGTAAATTACAGAAGTACGAAAAGACCACACACGTACGGCTCCACGAAATTTTCTGGCGGGAAAATGGCTAAATCAGGAACAAGCAAAACTGCTGAAATTTTCAAAGAATGCTCCTAGCATAAATACAACATAAACCTATCAAATTCGGTTTCCAGTCGTACGCGGAGGGAGGCGGACGGGAGAAGGGGGGTGAATTTGATAGAGAAGTAACATCGGAGACCTCATAATAAAAGTCAGAACGATTAACAAAAAAAACCCAATTTTTTTAGAATAAAAATACAAACGTGAAAACAAGAGCACAGAGACAAACGTACAGAAAGCCAGTTCGGTAACATCGCCGAGTGGAAGGACGAATTCGAAGACAGAAGGTTTTGCTTCGATATCCAAGTCGTAGATACGAACGAACTGTTGTGCCGCGACTGCTATCATTTCGCCACGACTAGAGCTCACCCATCGTACCTAAAAAAAAAATTATCAGTGATCACTCTGATAAGTAAATTTGCTTAATTCGCCAGCTGTAGCACACCAGCAACCATGACTCACTGAAAACTATCAAAATCAATTATCACAGATACAAGCCCAGATCAATAAGGCATAAAAAAACCAGTGGGAACAAGAAAATGAAAAGTGTAAGCAGTTGTATGCTGGCCTTATACCGTCCCCGTGCTCCTCTTCGTCTCAGATACATTCATCAAGGAACCAGGTACCCTGTAGAGAAGATCTTTCAAGCGCTATTCTAGGTTTACTTTGATCTCCCCTTCCACCATTCTTTATCTGATTCTATCCTTCCAGTCTTAAACCATATGGAATTCAGCTGTGCTAAATTTCCTTTGATTTGCGCAGTCCTTTTCTTTATATGATACTCTTCGGCCTACCTACGGTCACAAATTACCATTTCACATCTAGCACAACCCCGTCGTTCCTGCTTGAAATGACCAATTTTTGGTTGGGCCGCCATGGCTTTTTCTTTCCTTCCTATTACTTCGATCAAGGATTCTACCTGATTTTGAACTGCGAGTCAGATCAATTGGTTTCTTTCACTGGGCAACAAGCTTTACGTAAAAATTCGCTACCCTGCCAAAGTTATTTAGTTTTTGAGGTATTCAACATGTCATTTTCTTCACAGATATGTTTTACAAGAAAAAAAAACAATGTCAGCATGCGGTTACTGTTCGTAAAACAGTTGTTTGATCATTTTTTATGCGTTTTTTGCAGCTATGCGATGCAGAAAATGCATATTGACGAGGGGTTGTCCGTGTATTTGTGTGTCTGTGCGTCTGTGTGTGTGTCTGTCGCGCACTTTCATCTCAAGACGTATAAAAGCTGCGGAGCTGAAATTTCGGAAACTTAATCTACATGCGCGTGCCGGCCCCAATCCCCAAAACGGGCGCCAAAACCCGCGTGGTACCCGCGTACAGGCCCGCCAGAGTTTTCTTGGGACAAGTTCATAATTCAGGAACCTGAGAAGCTAGAACGCTGAAATCTTAGGAGGATGTTCCCCGTCCAAGTAGGTGTTAAAGCACTGAAACTCATTCCCCGGGTAATCATGGTACCCGCGTACGGGCCCGCCAAAATTTTTTTGGGGTATGTTTATAACTCAGGGATCTGAGAAACTAGAACGCTGAAAACTTAGGGGAATGTTCCTGGTTCAACTGGGTATTAATGCACTCAAACCCATCCTCCGGGTAAGCGTGGTAGGGCCTCCAAAATTTTTTTCGAGTAAGTTCATAACTCGGGGATCTGGGAAGGTAGAACGTTGGAATCTTACGGCAATGTTCCCCCGTTCAAATAGGTATTAACGAGTTCAAACCCTGCCCGCTGGTAAGTGTGGTACCTATGTAAGGGGCCCCTGAAAGTTTCTTCCGGGTAAGTTGCTAACTGAGGAAAG